AGGAGCCCAGCTAGACTTCACAACACCACGCTGTTTCTGAGACCAATACCAGGTCCTCAGATGCATTCTGAAGGTTCAAATGGCGTGGGGGCGGTCCAGCTGTCAGAACCTCTTCCTGTACTCTGCTCTCCTGCCCAGCAGCTGCAATCACAGAATGCATTGAGGTGGGCCGCCCCAGGCCCAGCCTCAGTGACCCAGTTAGTCCTTCCCAAGACAACAGCTGCAACCATCGGCGGGAATCAGTTCTGCCTCCAGGGTTCAGTTGGGAGATGTCTCACATTGCTCCCCTCTCCTGGCTGACCTAGCCCAAGCTCCGCTCTCTACAGCTATATCTCTATCCAGCTGGAGATGCTTCTAGTCCTTGCCCTCGCATCTCAATATCCTTCATTGTATTCTCTCCATGGCTCCAGGTGAGGGACAGGTGTGCTACCAGGCAGATGGGGCCCAGGCACCCAGGGTACCACCTAGCCTGGTGACAGAGGTACCCATGCCTGCTCTGTCCTCCCTACTTTGGATCCGTTGAGGTCATGCATGTGGAGCTGGGGGCAGTAGGGGCGGATTGTTGGACAGGGCTACTGTATTCAGTCAACCTGTACTGGACACCTGCTCTGCGACAGGCAGTGTGCTGGGTTCTGGGGATGCAGACGAGTGAGACAGAATTCCAGAGGGAGGCCTTCCTTGCTCAGGGTCCATCTGGCAGCACGTCTGCTGCAGTTCTGAGTCGGTTCTCTTTCTCTGCTTGGCTGGGGCCCTCCCATCTGGGGAGCCGCTGCCCGTTCTCGCTCAGGCTGCCCCTGCTCCAGTGCCAGTGGCACCAGCTGGGGTGCTGTACGGTGGCATGAGACGCCCCATGTCACTCTGGGGAGCCTCCTACTTCTGCATCCAGGTGTGGGATCAGGCCTCTGTGGGAATGGGTTCCTGGGAAGGCTCTGGGTGCCCAGGACTGCCTTACTCGCTTCCACCCCTGGAGGGCACTCCAGCCAATTCCAAGCCCTGGCCTTGAACTCCTCACCCTCCCCTGCTGCCAGCAGCAGAGGTCCCGGCATGCCCTGGGCCCAGTTTGCAGTTGGGCAACTACAGCATGACGAAGTGACCCACAGAGGCTTGCCTTTCCTGCTGGTCTCAGCAATGCCGTTGGGGCTCTGGGTGACAGCCTGCCTTGTGGAGGCCAAGTGAGACCCCAGGCAAACTAAAAACTGTGGTGCAGCATGTGGCGTGCAGGAGGTGATGGGGTGTGGTCTTTCAGTTACACATGGGCACTGAGTCAGGTCTGCCTGCCCATCAGAAATTCTATTCTCTGGACAGGGGCCATTGGAGTCTTCTCTAACAAGGATCCTGGCTGACATCTGGCTGGCAAGAAGGCCGCATTTCCCTTCCTCGAATAATGATGCAACAATCTAAGCCTGGCTACTCTCTGGGTGACTACTGGGCTTCTCTGGAGGGCGGGCCCCTCTCAAGTTCCACTGCCAGTCAAGGAAGTTGGAAGCCATTCTCCCATTATTTTTTTTTTTTTAATTTTGGGCCAGTGCTGTGGCACAGTGGGTTAAGCCATGGCCTGCAGTGCTGGCATCCCACATGGATGCCAGTTCAAGTCTCAGCTGCTCCACTTCTATCCAGCTCCCTGCTAATGTGCTTAGGAAAACAGCAGAGGAGGGACCCAAGTACTTGAGCCATCATCTGCTGCCTGTGAGGGTGCACATTAAGAGGAAGCTGGATTGGAAGTCGATGAGATGGGATTTGAACCAGATATGGGATGTAGGTGTTCCAAGTTGTGTCACAATTGTTGTGCCAAATGTGTACCCCAGATGCTCTTTTCAACATCATCATCATCATCACCATCATCGTCAGGTAATTAGCAAGCATGTTTTTGTGGGGCAGGCACTGGGCTGAGGATTTCATGCATGTTTGGGTCCCATTTAATCATCATGGCAACCCTGTGACAGAGACATTATCACCCCAATCTTACAGAAGAGGACATCAGGGAATTCTCCCAAGGTCACATAGCAAGAAAGTGGGTACCACAGCCTTTCAATCCAGGCTTGGTTGCTCCCAAGGCTTGTGCTATTTCCACCCTGGCACACAGCTGTTATAAAAGTCACTGTTTACTGACCATCTAATGGGTACCAAGCCCTGGGCTACATGCTTTCGCAAGTTAATCTTTTCAAAGACTTCGACGAAACTGCAACTGCTGTTGCCCATTTATATCTGGTGGCCCTGCACCAAGGTTAAAGCATCCTCCGGAGGTCACCAATCACTAGAGGGAGGTAAAGCCAGGGTTGGGACTGTGGGTACTCTCCACCACACTTTCTCCTAGAAGAGGAAAGAAAGCAACAACTCAAGTATGGTCACCGAGCTCACTTTATCCCAGCTGCACAAAATAAGCACTGTGTTACTGGCCCAGGCCGAGAGAATGGAGAACCAAGTAGGTAGTCTAATGGAAAGAGTGCATCCTCCCACCGCGAGGCTGGTTAGTCATGTGGAAGGATGTTCCTGGGGATTGCTTCAGGGATCCGTTGTCCTAGCTGTTTCTTCTGCATCTGGAGCAGCAAGAATGGGGGAGGGGGGGGGGCGCAATGATTGTGGCAAGACACTTTTATAATAACCTTTTGGAGGCTTCCATTACCTATTCATCTGTAGAGCAAGTATTCTATTCCAGGCCATGCCCAAAGTATTATTGGTGTGGAGAGATGAACAGTCCCTGCTTTTACAGTGCACTTAATTTAACCGAAAGTGGCCTGTGTATAAACAGTGATCTGGGAGCTGACTTCTCTGCCTGCTTCTGCCACTCATCTGGAATGGGGTTTTCAGCAGGTGAGGTGAGTGAGCTTCCCTGGACTCTGAATGCTGATGCAAAATTAAGAAAACAGCTACTGGACCCATTCTCACCCTCTTTGTACTTGAAAAACTCCATTGAAGAGCAGAATTAAAAGACATGTTTGTTTTGGGATAAACATTTTTGAAATCTATGCATAGTTTTTTTTTTTTTGTAATATGCATGTTTCATGAACATTCTGAAGATGCTGTGAGTGTCCTGGATGACTACTAAGTGGTACAATGATTAAAGGACAGCGCTTTCCTGAGGGTCCCGTACGGAGGCTGAAAGGCATGTATGTGACTCACTATGTGAGCAGTAAGCCACTTCCTGCAGCCACGTAGCCAGAAGCGGCACAGCTGGGATCTGAAGCCCAACTTGGCTTGATTTCCAGGCCCCCATCATCCCTGCTGCCAAGCAGTCCCTGTATCCCAGCTCAGGCATGTCAAGTTCTACCCCTGATGGGATCCTCACGGCAAGGAAGACCTAACAGAGCAGCAACACTTGGATTCCCGTGCAGGTCTGACAGCGAGTCACAGTGCTCAACTAGCAGACTGAGCAAGTGACCAGGAGGACACATGGGGAACATGTCCCCACAGGCACTGCTCTGCAGGCATGGTGAGGGCATCCCTTAAGCAGAACAGCCCCCAGGCAGTGAGCAAGCCATAGCCCTAATCAGATCCCAAGATGCGCCCAGTCAAGAAAGGCTGAGCAAGCAACATTTTCCTCTGTAGGAACCTCTGGTTCCATCACGCACAGAGGGAGGCCTTCTGCTTGGCATCCTCATTTATGCTCTGGGAGGGTAAGAGCTGCCCCATGACCCTGTCTTGATTCCCCGTTCTTCCCCACTTATGCATGCTCCTGGAGCAAGTGTTTGTGCACTCACGATTTCAACCACTGCCTGTCTGCTGATGGTCTCCTGAATCAACCACTCTCGACCCTCATCCCTGGGTGAGTTCCAGATGACTTGTTAACTGCACATATGCATTTCCTCCTGGTTGTCCTGCCAAGCACTGTCCCTACCTCACCCTTACCATGCACAACGTGGAGGGCAGCACCTTCCTTCCAAACCTGCTCCTATACTCAGGTCCTCAGCCTGGGGAGGAAAGCACCAGCACTCACCCAGGCATCCAGAAGGAGACCCCTCTCACCAGCATCCCTCACTCCCATCAGTTCCACAGCTCCGAGGACTTCCCTCTGCCACTCCACTGTCCCCGAGGGGGCGGCTCTCTGGCACAGAGGTCATGACCACAGCAGGTACACAGTCTGTTACTGTTCAATGAACTGGGCTGACATTTACAGAAAGCTCTGTCCACAGGAGGTGCTACTGCACTGGAGACACGGAAAAGACACGAGGATCCCTCCTCTCGGATACCTCATCCAGCTTTGTGTCCTGATGCGGAGCACAGAGGACAGGGGGCTATTTTCCTGGTTCCTGCGCCCCTTCACTCCTCTGTGACTTTGTGCCAGCCCTTCCCTAGGCTGGGAACACCTTCCTCACCCCTTGTCGATTTCATTACTTCTCATCTTCAAGACTTGCACCTCCAGTGTGGTCTTCCTCCTGTCCAGGAGTAGCTCCTCTTGGGAGCACGTTCCTGGCCTGTCCCACAGTAACTGTCCCTTTTCTGTCTCCCGAGTGGACTCTGAGTGGCCAACAGGCAGGCCTGTGTTCTAACTCATCTCTGTGATCTCAGCACAGCCCCTGGTGCAGAGCAGCCCTCAATCAACAACTGCTCTGCGGATGTCACAACTAAAAGATGAAAAGCACAGAGGCCTGTGGCCTGGGACGCCGGCAGACAGCCCCTCGCCCCATCCTGGGCCTAGCCGAGTCTTCTGGATATCAGTGCTGAGGGAGATTGGCATTGAAGCCTTTCAGATTGTCTAGCGACTGCAGGGTCAGGAAAAACTGATGATCCAAGATTCCCCTGGGACCTTTCATTTCTGTCTCTCCGCCTGTCATCCAGCAGGAACAAGGTGATTTCGCTCACAAAAATTCCAAATGCCTTGGCTGGTGGTTTCGTATATGGGGTTACCCAAGGCGACGTCTCTGCTCCCCCTGCTATTCCACCAGGAACCTTCAGTGCCCACCCTCCTGGCCTTCTCCCGCCCCACCCGCCCCAACACGGCCCCAGTGGTGACTCGGTTCTCCCTGGGAGAGCACTGCCTGGGGCTGGGGCCGAGGACTCACCCTCCATCAAAGGGATTCTCCCCGGGGATGACGTGCGTGCTGTCCTTGCCCACGAGGAACTTGATGCGGTCGTAGAAGGAGTGGAGGTTCTGCTGGGACACAGGGGCCTGTGTCTCCTGGATGATGTCCAGTGGGTCAGGGGAGCCCAGGCACAGGGGGTTGACATGACAGAGGGGCTGCAGGCAGCAGTCAGGGTCCATGCAGTCCAGCAAGCCGTCTGTAGGGGTGACAGAGCATGCGGTTTACATGACTGTGCTGTTAGCCACGGTTTCCAGACGCCTTCATTCATTTCCACTCTCCATCCCATTCACTAAAAACTTCACCATGGGCTGATACAAGCCAAGGCCTGAGCTGGGCACCAAGGAGACCCAGGTGCTTCAGATCTGATCCCAGCTCACCTGTCCAGCAGGAGACAGACAAGTAAGTGTCCAGCGTCTGCCTGAGTTTTCCCCCCGCCCAGAGATAGAAGGAGTAATATTGGAAGCCCAGAGGTGTGACAACACAAGAACATCTGAATGATAACGTCCAATGCTGGGGCTCAGAAGGGGAGAGAAGTGGCTACGAGGAGGCTGCTGGGATGGCTGCTGCAGACTGGGCTGGGCCTGGACGGCCACATCAGGGAGTTGGGCTTTCAACCTCCGGACGCTAGGAGTCGCTGAAAGGTCTCCGGTAGGGGGTGGCTTCATCTGATGGGCACGACTGAAACTGGAGGAGGCCCTAAGAGGAAGCTGGGGCCAGACAGGAGTGGGAGGGGGGTGCTGCTGAGTTTGCACAGGTGGGAAAATACAGGTTGCTTAGGCTAGAGCAGAACTGTGGAAAGGAAGGGAAGCAGAAGGTTCTGGGAGACGTTTAGGAGGTGGAACTACAAGACCTGGTAACTGGCTGGCTTTGGGGGTGAGGAAGAGGCAGTGCTGGTGAGGGCCCTGTATGCAATTCTCAGCCTCTCCCCCAGCCGCTGTGCTCCTGTGCGGCCCGAGGCACAGTCCCCAGCCCTGCCTTCTGTGTGTTGCCATTAGCAGGGAACTCCCTTTGTCATATACATAGGTTTCTTCAGCACTCACAAATCATACTACAGTTCTACCATCTTCCCAAAGTGCCGAGAATGAAATTCTATGAGATAACAGATTTTACAGGCACCCAGTAGAAAAGCTCCAATGGATAAGAAATCCAGGGGGAGAAGGAAAAGCCCCGTGTTACACCTGTGTGCTCTGAGGGCAGAAACCACTCAGATGCAATCCTGCCTGGGTTCCAACTCTGGCTCTACTGCTTGTGAATTCTGGGACTTGGGGCAAACTTTCCACTGCTCTGGGGGCATATATCTGTTCTGGTCATCTCTGTGGTACCCTCAGTATTTACTACAGTTTATTTTTAGATTAGTTTTTAAAAACACAATTTGTATTATATTTATTTGGAAGGGAGTCGGTGGTGGTGGTGGTGGGGAGAAATATCTCCCATTCATGGGGCCAGGCCAAAGTCAGGAGCTGGGAACTCAACCCAGGCCTCTCACATGGGTAGCAGGGAACTAATGCCTTGAGCCATCACCATTGCCTCAAAGGATGCACATTAGCAGGAAGCTGGAATCAGAAGCAGAGCCAGAACTTGAACCCAGGTGCTTAGTTACATGGGATGTGGGTATCCCAGTATGCAAACGCCTGCTCTAGTGGATGTGTTTAAAACAAGGCTGGTATACAAATGAATGAAACTGGATGAACTGATGTACAAATGGAAGCAGGAGATGAGACCAAATGCCACAAAAGCCAGAAAAACCACAGCTTAATTCAGTCCTAAGCAGCTGGCATGGTGGGCCTGAAGTTCTGGTACTGCCTTAAGAGAGGCCCTGGACAAACTGCTGCTCCCCTCCTCAGTAACATGGGGTAACACTGATATGCCCTTTGCATTTCTGTCTTTATGGAGTTTACAATATAGATGCTACCACCAGAGTACTGACTATGTGCTGGCTAGACTCAGAACCTGGTCCTCCTTACTAGCTGTGTGGCCTGGCAAGCTCCCTGACTGCTCTGAAACCCAGCTTAGGGACAAAAATTCCTCTTTTGTTCTCCTACATTCCTTCCTGGTGCTCAGGAGCTGGTGGCATCCTTGAAGGCAGCACAGTGATGGAAGGCAGCTCTGTCCCTGACACCCTAGCTCTGAAACTTCCTACTATGCGGTCTTGGGCAAGTTAAACTCTCTAGCCCAAGTTTCCCATGTCTCTTAAAAGGGTTAGGAAGAGTATGTGTCACATGAAGTATTTGTTACATAAACAAAATAGTCTAGCATGCCTTTCAACCTAGCACAGTTAGCTGACACAGAGTCAGTGCTTAGTAAGGGGTAGCTCCCTTCCTGACCCTGACCCTGACCTTGACCCTGAACCTAGAACATGAATCATCAAAATCCTCTTCTGTTCACCTGCCTGCTTTATTCTGAGGTGTGGGCAAATGGGCTCGCTTCACCCCACCACTGTTCCAGGTCCCAACCTGGGGCTGCCGGGCCAGCTCCCAGTTGCAACCGTCTGGCAAAGCACCTGTCTCCCCGTGGCCAGCAGGCTCCACAGCATCTTCCTGGGCTGCCCCGGTCAGACACTGCTTACACACGTGATTACAGCCCAGGTGGAGGGTTATTTGCATTCTGCTATTGATGTTCACATGGCAGATTCAGCGGCCACGTCCATTACTGCAGAAATGCCCCATTATTCAATCCCAGCGAGTGGGGACGCTGACCATTAAATCAGCCAGCACAATGGAAGGGCCGTGAAAAGTCATGGCTAATTTGAAATTTTATTAGCTCCTGCCTGCTCTTATTTACCACCGAAGCAGTCCCTGGACGCCTGTCTTTCACCTCTTTATAAACACTCTGTGGCACCTGGCAAGAACTACTTCCTGTTGGGGGGCGGGGTGGGGAGAGTTTGCATTCTAGCCCTGGGAGAAGGCTGGCCAGGAATGACGGACATGTTATTATTAATATCCACATTAAACGATGAGGAGGAGGAGGATCAAGCACAGCATAATGAAGTGCCAGGCACAGTGTTAAATACTTGATAAGAAACGTGTCATTAAATCCTCCCACGCCACGAAGAGCCACTGTCATCACCTTCACTGCAGAGAGAAGGTGCCAGAGGCACACAGCGCTCAGGACCTGGGGGAAGGCCGCCAGGTCAGTGAGGGGAGACGCTGACTCCAACTGTGACTCAGTTCCACCTGAGGTCTGAAACGGCCCCTGAGGCTGGGAGGCCTCCAGGAACTCCTTCTCGGGTTGGGAGCAGAGCTCTGTGAATCCCACGGAAAACGCGCCTGTTCCACACTCGCTTCCACAGCCCGGCAGCTCCGTCATGCAGCTCTGTCCCTGACGCTGTAATTTCCATTTCCTCTGTCTTCCCTCCCAGACCTGAGCATCAGGGGCTGTGTGATTCGGGTCAGTATCCCAGGGCCCAGACCTGGACTGCAACACAGCCTGTACTCCACGGTGCTTTCAGGAACCAAAGAATGACTGATCCAGGCCAGAGCAGCTTCTCGAGACTCGCCAATCTGTCTCTGCACCACGTGTGACAGAGAGAGCTCCCTTGGGGAGTCTCATGACAGAGAAACAAGGATTTTCCAAGGAAGAACATCTAGGCTGACCCAGCATGTGTGCACGCCGCACACAGCAAGTGATACAACACACCAGGGTCTTTTAATTAGGATTCGCGTCTTTCATTAGTTCCGGAAAGTTCTGTCCTGAGTTCTTTGAGTATTCCTCTTTCTCTCTAATACGACTTCAGGAATACGACTAAAAGCTTAAAAGCATCTTCCACTTGTCATGTCTTTGAATTTCTATCTGCTGCAAAGTGGTTTACTTCCTCAGCTCTGTATTTCACTTATTTTTCCTTCGTCTGTGTCTGATCTGCTGCTGAATGTGAAGTCCGGGTTGTTAAATTGCCACACTTCACAATTTCTAGATAATCGATTTTGAACTTTGAGAAAACTGCTTGCTTCTTTCTTGATAGCACCTTGCTGCAGCCCCATGGTGGTTCTGCTTCAGTTTATCGGATGTCATTTTAAAACATACTGACTTTAGACTTGGCTTTAGCCAGGTAAGTTTTTGGGAGTGGTGCAACTCTTGGGTGCTGTAGGTGTTGTCTGCAGTGTATGGTCAGTCATTTCTGTGAGTTCTAGGATGCTGATTGACAACTCCAGGGGGTGTGGTTTACTATGGGATCTTGCATAATTGAACTCACCCTTCACAGGGGTTTTCTGGCTACTTCTGCTGTTATTCTAGGGGTACTAGTGGCATAAGGCCACTTTTCAGGTTGATTTCTTAGCCCAGAATTCGAGGACCTCTATTTATTTGCTTGGCAGAAAAAAGAGAGAAAGCAAGAGCCAGTGAGTGAGTCCATCTACTGGCTCATTCTCCAACTGTCTGCAGTAGTTGAGGCTCGGGGGAGGCCAAAGCCAGGAGCTGGGAACTCCATCCAGGTTCCAGTAGGAACCCAATGACTTGAGCCATCACTGCTGCCTCCCAGGGTCTGCATTAGCAGGAATCTGGGGTCAGGAGCTGCAGTTGGGAATCTAACTAGTGTCTTAAGAAGCAAGCTAAATTTCTGGCACACCCCCTTCCGGTTTTTAAGTTTAGATTTTAGTATGTTCTGAGGCATAGGTTCCATGTCTCACAGGGGACCTGTCCACCCCCACTCCCGAGAACCAGGGTATAGGAATGCCTCAGTGACACCCCTGTGGTCCAGCAGGCCCAGGCTTTCAGGCCTGGTCTCCCTCGAGTTGCAGCCTCCTAGGGACCCTGCTTTGTGCAGGGCCCAGCCCCAGTTCTCCACTTCGGTGCACCTTGTCTCCCGATGCTGAATGTACCACAGTTCCTGTGCCCACTGCTCTGGCTTTCAGCTTCATCTTGCTTCTGGAATCCAGGGCACTCTAACCCCCCTTTCTTCTCTGCTAAATTTTTAAAACAAGTCAAAGTGCTTTGTGGTCAGATGGTTTCTGTGATGACCTACTTGGTCATTTTGCTGGAAATAAAAATCCTACCAAGAGCTCTGAGCTTCAGTTCTCTTATCTTTAAAATGAAACCACCAAACTCCTTCACAGGGATGCTGTGAGGACCAGTGTGATCACGGGTGTGAAGCACTTAGCATGATAGACAATTCGTAAGTAAGTGCCTGGTAAGCGGCAGTTACTATTAACTCCTGGCCAGGTACCGCCCATGAACAGATATTTTGGTCACAGACCTGCCACT